GGGAGAAGGGGTGGGGTGGGGAGAAGTGGTTCGACTTCACCAATCAAAAAACTGATGCCCTACGACTTTTTCGTTCTTTCTGATGTTAAATTAACATTAGCCCAGCTGCTTCCTTTTAAATACTCTCAAAAGAAGGAACTAACGTCATCCTTTCCAGCTTAGGGTTCTTTGATGGCGTTTTTTAACGCTTAGGTTATTTTTGAGTCTCTTCTCGTCTCGCAGAAAGTGAAAGTGGAAGGATTTTTGACTTCCCTTTGCTTCTCGCCATAAAATTTAGCTTTTTATGCCAAGTTTAGCTGTTCTTACTGCATCGTTTAGTTATTTTTTTCCAGGCCTTCATCAGAATTTTGCTTTTCCAATGTAGTTGGAAGCATTTCCTCTTCTTGTTTAAGCTGCTTGTTCTTCTACTCATTCCTTCACTTTCACACCAGTTCTACTTAATTCATAGCCTCTGTGTAATCAGGATGGTGGAGCGACGTGAGCCAGTGGGTGCTGAAACAGCGCGTGTACGGACGTTAGTAACACAGAAGGTTGCACCGCTGCAACATCACCGTCCGTTTTCAATGCAGCCGGAGGCACAAAGCAGTGATACCTCGGATGATGATTCCAGTAAAGGTAATGCTTATCATTTTGTCCAGAAATGCGTAACATAGAATTTGTGTTGTTTTTATCAACTTTTTTTATCGTTGGAGTTGTGTTTACGGTGCTTGCATGAATCCTTTGCTCCACTTGAAACAGCTTATCCTCCGGTTAGGCAGCTTACAGCTTGTCCAGTTGTTTTGAGCAGTGCTGCTTCGCTTGTTGGCCACTCTGTAGGTTTTTGATGTTTGCTTAATCTCTTGTGATTATCAGCCCAGCGGTTCTCCCGAACTTGAAAAGGTATTAGCCGTTTCGGGATATATTCACTGTTTTGTTCGGAACGTTAATACTTCTAAATCACGATAAATTGTCATTTCGATTAGGAACGCAGTTAGTACATTTCGTATTGTTTTGGTATTTGGAAAATTTAGGAGTGATTTATTTTTACTGCTTATGAAACGATGAATTTTATGGATGATGAATTGTTGAGTTATATCATGCACCAACATCATTACGGCTTATTTTCAGCATCCATCATGCCACCAAGTAACGAGTGCTTGCAACAGCGGCCGGCTGCAAAACCACATCCTCGGGCTTATTCCACTCTGCAAAGGTCAATTAAGGTGGGGACTGAAATTTGTTGGAAAACTGAATTTGAAGAGCATGCTTTGATTTGAAAGGTACTTTTCCCCTAGACATTTTTTTTTTCCAGGCGAACTCTGTTATTCTACCGAAGCCTGGCAATAGAGTTCTGGACGACAGTGTGCCACTGGCCAAGCTGAGGCCAACTTCTCGCCCTGTAGCACCAAG